TATATGCATACCCATGTTTATAGCGACATGGTTTGTAATTGGTAAATCTTGGAAACAGCCCAAATGCCCATCAACTGATGAATTAATAAAGAAGATGTGGGGTTTTGTTTTGTTTTGGTACTGGGGTCGAACTCAGGACCATGCATTTGCCAGGCAGGCACTGTGCCACTGAGCTACATCCCTGGCCCAAGATGTGGTTTTTCTAATACAGTGGAGTAGTACTCTTCCATAAAGAAGGATAAGCTTGAGATATGTCTAGCTAACTGGATACATCTTGAGACCATACTCTTAAGTGAAATAAATCAGACACACATATTTAAATACCAAATTATTTTCTGGTGTGAGAAACTGAAAGTGTAAATAAGGACTAAATGTATAATAGAGCTTGGGAAATGGGAAGAAAATGTTCAAATGAGAAAGGGAACAAGGGAGGGAGGGGGGAAAGGCAGGAAGAGACAAGAAAAAAATAGAAGGAAAAATGGAAACAAAGCTTTTGTAAATAAGGAGTGGAAGAGGGGTTAAAAGGAGGGGAGGGAAACGGGAAACAAAGAAGCAGCAAGATATATCATGCACAGGTACAAATTCCCTATGATGAATGTGATCATTATGTATATCTAAAATGTACCGATAAAAACATGGACTTGGCACCAAGGAGCCGTGTTAATGCTCAGAGTAAAAGAGCCTAAAAGTGCCTAATTAAGGTTTAATCTTAGCCAAGATGCTCGCCCTGCACAGACAATTTCAGTGCTGTTAGAGGGCCTTCTGTCTTGTTCCTCTCTGTGGACAAATAAATCCAAAGAGCAACTTTTTGATAAAAATCTCCATCCTTTCCTATGTCTAAGCCTTGTTTATTTAGCTCGTTTAGTTATTAAAAAATCTATTTACTGACCATGTACCATGTACCTGGCACCAATGAGGATTTTGTTGTACAAAAAACAAAAATGACGATCCAGAGGGGTGACACATGTTAAGTCAACATTTGGACAGATTATCACATTATTACTGTTATATTAAGGGTTAAAAGTTAAAGCACAAGGTTCCATGGGAATGCAGAAAAGAAGGAATCTAACCTACTATGGTTATATCAGAAAAATGATCAGATACCAGGAAAGTGACATTTAAAACCTGAAAGAGCAGGACAAGAATTGGCCAGGCCAGGAATTGGGAGGCCAGCATTCCAAAAGAAGACAGCAGGTCCGAAGGCCCCCAAGGCAGATGTAGGTCCATATTTTGGAGGAACCTCAAGGATAGGAGAGTAATGATAGCAATGAGGGAGGGGAAAACCAAGAAGGAAATGAGCTGGGAATGGGGAGGGGGCTAGGCGGAAGGTGCAGCCAATGGAAGTTTCAGTGTATCATAACTGATACTAGCCTCTTTTCAACAAAATTTTCTTTTTTTTTCTTTTTGGTACCAGGGGTCGAACTTCGGTCCTTGCGCTTGCGCAGCAGGCGGCGAAACCACTGAGCTAAATCCCCAGCCCATCAACAAAATTTTCTTAAGGAATGATCACTTTATTGAACAGGGCACCTGAGAAGAGCTACAGGGATTCATATTGCAGGATAATTTTGACTTCTTATAACTCAAAGGTGATTAACTTAACTTATCCTACACTTGCTTGAGATACATGTGTTCACAGACAAAGACATTATCGAGTCACTCGCCCACATTCTAAAATGTGTTCTTCAGAGAAGTCAGACTAGCAGTGAGCTGGAGGACTCATCATCTCCAACCAAGTACCTAGAGAATGGCTTTTACTAAGTTGTATTTTGGGGTAAAACCTTTGCCAATATCAGGAAAGAAAATTACAAGACATATTGTCACATGTGCTCTATGGATATTGTCTAAGGAGGTTGATAGTTATATTGCTTGGAGTCCTTTGATGAAGATACGAGTGGTTTTAATAGCAATAGTAGCTATGCTTCTCCTAAGTCATTTATTTCTCTAATTTTTAATTTTATTTCATGACACTGATCCAGTTTCCCTGTTCCACTTCATTGCTAGGAAGTTCAGAGCTGAATGTGTGGCCCACCTATAGCCACAGTGTTACAATGTCCAAGTTTTAGCTTCTCCATCCTTGTTTTCTCCTTCATTCTTCTTTTTCAAACAATTTGATGTCCTGTTGTTTCAGTTTGTTCATTGGCTTAAGCAGCTTAAAATGTGTACTAGAACAAGGTAAGAATAAATGAATAAATAATACGGTCAAGGCCCTGTATGCCCTTAGGTTCTAAGACTGTCACTTTAACACAATGAGACCTATTATACTTACTATAGAAAATGGTCTTGAGTTAGGGGAACCCTGTGTGGAGTAAAGGCCAGGCCCTGCTGTCATCTGGTGAGCACTTTGGCTCCTAAGGTTGCTGAGTCCCATTGGTTGTCATCTTCATTGCTTCTTGAGCCTGTCCCTGCTACTTCTTTCCCCTTCCTCTGATTACAGTAGTTTAGACTCTCCAAGTCTCCCAACCTGGCCTCAGCAGGTCTCCCTGCCTTCACGCCTCTGCTGCATCCTTCACACTTCAGCCTGAAGAGCTCATGCCACACTGCCTCTCCAAGCTTCAGGCTCTGTCCTCTGCCAACTGAACCAAGTGGGAGCTGCTCAGATGGCCTCCAAAGCTCTGCATGACCCAGGGTCATTTTAACTCCCTGACTCATCTTCCACTCCAGCCACACAGGCCATACACATGGCAACCGTGATCCCAGCTGTAACTCCTGCCCAAGTGCCATTGCAGACAGTGCTACAAGAGTCAAAGAACAGTGCCTGGTGCCCGCCCCCCCCCCTCCATCCTTTAAAGACAGGCGCCTCAGGTTTGTGCGATTGGAATCTGAGCAGTCATCTGGATGATTTGGCACTGACTAGAAGCTCAGCTGAGAAGGTCTTTGAGGTCTCATTCAGAACCTGATGTTATAAGGCTTTTGTAGTGACTTGGGGTACTTCTGTTCACACACACACACACACACACACACACACACACACACACACGGAAGGTTGTGGCAGATTATGCTGCCACATTCCTGCCAACCAAACCATCAACCTCTCAAAGATAGGCCAGACCCAGCCCAGTGGTGTGCAGGCCCGCCCTGGCCTCTAACCTACAATACCAGTTCCACAACGATTATCTGCAGCATCTGGGGCAGCTCCCATCTGCTGCAGGCAGGCCTGGGTGTGCTCATCAGTGGGATGATCAATTTGGTTCAGTGCTGCTAACGCCTTTCCTTCTCTGGCATTCAGAGTAGAGGAGGAGGAAGGAAAATGGAGCACCTGCCACTCTTGGCTCATCTGCATATAAGCTAGGGACAAAGTTCTAAATGTTAGATGAGGTGTCTAATCTGGACCAAGGCAGGGCAGTGGAGGTTGCAAGACTGGGGCTCTGTGTGTGTCCTCTGCAAATGAATCCAGGTTTCTGAGCACCTGCAGTTCTCAGTTCATGGAGTGTCTTCATCCCAACAAGGCTCCAAGAAGCTCCAGGCCAATGGCCTGGCCCAGTAATCTCAAGGGCCCCACGAATGAGGCACTGGCTCAGAAATGTTTGCAGGGTTCAATCTAGCTACGTGAAATCTACAAAGAGTGAGTTAAATCCTTCATGATCCCCAGGAGAGCTCCTGTCTCTGCCCTCACAGAGTAGCTGATGTCCTCTTTTGGCTTGGGTGGAACATTCATTTAGTCAGATGAGGAATATGAGACTTAAGGACATGGAACAAGACAGGCAGACCATTCCTGCCCTAAATGTCCTCTCTATGCTGAATTGCCTCAGGAATCAGGACCACATTAGTGCACTGAGTACACTCTCCTGAAAGAGCCCAGGCAAAAACCCAAAATATTCCAGAAAGATCAATCCCATTAAGGATTTCCCGTTTGACTCACGTACTCCTTCATAAACATTGACACCATGAAGGAATATTATGGGTAACCAAAAAGAGAGGGTTCTAAGAAACGCTTTTTTATCGTAAGTACCAGTTTTACTTGAAACTAATCATATATAGTGCAAAATGTTTATTTAGGACTTGCAAATACTTCATCTCCAAGTCCTTTGTGCTGACAGCCCCCAAACCCCCTTCAAAGTCATGGGAAGTGGGCAGAAAAATCCTGTGAGCTGCTCCACGCAGTGGAGACCACTGAGGTGCATGGAGTCTAAGGGGCAGCTGATTGCATTTCACATGCTAGTTCACTTTGGAGACGTGTTCCTGTCCCGCTACAGCTGCTTGGATGCAGGCAGAAGCACTAAGGTGAGTTTACTGCTCTCTCAAGTTTCATGGTCTATGAACTCTCGTTACCAGGGCCAGGTAACCTGTCAGGTTGAGGAGGCTGTAACATTCGATGTCAGTCCTCTTCAAAGGCCGCCTGGGGCCCCCTCACCCAGGATGGCCCTCCTAAAAGGGCAGCAGCTGAGAAAGCAGGCCCTGAATGCCCAGCAAAAAGGCCCCAAAGTGGCAGTGGGATTGATACTTTCTCTCTTCCAAAAGATCAACAATCTTGTGTAACATTCAGAACAACGAAAATATTGCTTACAAGAAAAAACTAGGCAGTATATAAAACGAGTGGAAAAAATGAGCCATGAGAAAAATGAGAAATCAGCTTTTCTTCCAATGTTTCTGAGTGTGTGTTCAATGGAGAAATAATTTTTTAATTTAAAAATGAACACAGGTGAAGTGGATAACCAAGCCTGGCTTGAGAGGCTCTGGGAAGTCAGTCACTTTGCAGACCTGCAAAGTCTGTCCCAGCAGCAGAACACCTCCTCCCCCTCCCGCAGTTCATTCCTGTGAGGTCAAGAATCATTTGGCTAAAATGAGCCTGTTATAGGTTCAGGAGAGCAAGCCAGCTCTGTTATGAGTGCCTAATGAATTAGTGTGTGTTAGTGCCTTGTTTCTTTCCAGGTTCAAAGTCATGCTTGGCACAAAGGAACCCAAAGTGTCTTAGCCCAGGGCAGAGAAATGTTCCATGAAATGGGCCAGCCAGGATCCTTCTAGTTTTGCCCAGGCTGGCTTGGTCCCGCCTGCCTCCTTACTTTCGAAACAGGCTGCTGAACTGGAGGATGTTAGCAGAAGCCAGCACCGCCACTGTGTCGTCCGGGTTTATCTCCACTTCACTTATGTAGAGGTTCCTCAGGGCCGTAGCGAAGGCTGAGGAGGCAGCAGCCAAGGGAGAGCCATCAGCATGGGGCTGTACATGGAGACACCACCCCGTGGTCTCCCTACTCCTACGGCTGGACAGACAGGGACATGTAGCAGACATCCCCACCCAGTACTGGTGGGCCACAAGTGGCACATGCTTCTTGGTTTCCCAAATTTGGCTATATTTTTTATATCAGGAGTCAGACTGGAGCCCAACATGACTCAAATGGGCATGTCAGATGGCAGAATGGGCAGGTATAGCCCCTACCCCATTGGCTGCCACTGAGGCCTACACCTTCATCTATGAAGTGGCAGGGCTCTGCTGAGTTACAGGTAGCTGAGGTCAGCGTGACCCCAATTAAAATCCTTTCCCCTGAATTATGGCTTCTCATGGACCCAATGAGTTGCTTGCTAATTGCACCCTATCCCAGTACCTGTTTGTTCTATCCAAGCAAGATAAGCAGTGCTTCCTCTCTTACACCCCTGCCTGGTGCCATCATGCCAGGTGTTCAGCAGTATTTCACCAGATGCCTTCAAAGCATACCCTACTCCCTATTCCTTCCCATGCTTGTATTCAATAAATACTGGATGCACTTTGGGGCCTTTGTCTTTGTTGCCTAGAGCAGCATAGATTAGACCCAAGATCCAGCTTTTTCTCTGTCTGCTTTCCTGTCTTTATTCTTTAATTAGCCTTGTGTTGTTGTGGCTCACAGGAGACCAGGACCCACTGCAGAGGTTTCTGGTGAAGTCCCTTTTCCCGTTCCCTGTAGGAACACCCTTGAAGAAGAAGCACCAGCTTTGACCTCAGTGCAGACACCACCAAGGTGTTTGGTGACCTTGGCTTCCAGATGCCCAGAGGAGTTGAGCTAAAGAAAGCTGAGTTCATGCTGAAAGGATTCTCCTTTGAGCCTGTCCTCAGAGTCTGTGCCTTGGAGTCACCTGAAGGGTGAGACATCCCAGGGATCTCTTCTAACCTGGGGCCTGTGCCCTAAGCAAGAATGTGACTGCCCAAATATGTGCAGAATGTGGTGTGCAGACAGGTACATTTTCTTCTCTGGACATGACGTGTAGCTCACAGATTTTCTGAGGAGTCTGAGCACTTCAGTAAAGGTCTAGATCTCCTGGAAAAAGCCAAGATAATTTGATCATTCAGGAACTTGCCTGCCTTGGCTGGGGGCCAGATGGACTTGGCCTATTCCAAGTCCTACATGAATCAAGATATCGTCACTGTGCCATCAGAACGTGGAAAACAAGCTGAGCCAGTGCATAAGTGCATTATCTCCTGACCTAGTAATTCATAGATCTGCATCATCACGTGATATCACACAATTACATTCCACATACAAACCTGTGGCCCAGAACAACAGGGGCAGAGTGACCCCAAGGGAGCACCCTGAGGGAGCCTCCTGCTACTGGAAGGCAGCCAGCATGGGTCCTTGATGGGACAGGGCAGGTCAAGGCTGTTTGGGAGCAAGGGTGGGCCTGAGGGCTTCCCTGGGCCCGAGTGAGCTGGGGAAGGGCAGTTCCATTTCTGGCACACCTTAGAATCCTGCTGCTTCCTTCCCATCTTGCATCCTTCTTGTCCCTTACCCCATGTCAGTGCCTCTCTTTAGTAGCATTGCATTTCCCATTTTTCCAAGTTGTCCCAGCCCTCTTGTCCCTTGTTTGTCTGTAGTGTTCAGCATTTTGGGTGAGGAATGTGTACCACTTGTTTGTGGTGTTTTGTTATTTGTTTACTGTTTTGACTCTGGGCAGACTGCCTGCTCAATGGCTTTCTCAGAATGTAAAGGCAGGTGTTACATTACCAACTCTGGTGACGGATGGATCATTGATCCTCAAAGAAACGATCATCTTCTTGAAGGGGGATTTTTCTTTGGTCTTCCCAGGTGATTGAGCTAGTAAAAGAAATCAGATAATGATCTGTGGGGGCAGTGATCACAGTGAAGGTACAGTAAGAGGCGCCCGTCACACCACCTTCATCATGACACGACCACATCAGATTCAGTTTATTTAGTGGGTGCATGTGTAAAATCACTGCATATTTTTAAATAGTTAAAACTAACAAAAAGTTTTGAAAGTAGTACAGAGAGTTCCTGTGCCCTCCTTGCCCAGCTTCCCCTAATGATCTTCCGAAGCCACCGTGCATTGTAAAACGTGCTAATGGACACTTGTGTTGCATTTTAAATATTTATTACTGGCTCTCTCTTCCACTCCCTTTCTCTTTCATCTTTCTCTAGTTAAGTGTGAGCAGTTTGAGGGCAAAGAAGGACCCCAGCCATTCCTGAACCTAAGCACCCAGGGCAGGACAGGTACCAAGTGGGGCACAGTGACCATCTGCTGAAGGATGAATGTGGGACTGAGGCATCTGCCCATTGGCTCTTGGCACTTAGCCCCACAGATATTCAAACTGGGGACTCCTGCCACCAAGCATTTCCAGGAGAATGGGATGGGCCAGCTCAGGTTGTCACTAGCCAATCCCATGGTCTTGGAGTTATTCTAAAATGTGGCTCTCAAGTTTCTGGTAGCAAGACCTTGCTACATAATCCACAGCTCCAAGACCTTTATGGCCCTACCCCTTCTCACTGCTCTGCTCATTCTATCCCAAACCGCCTTCCTCAGTGCTTGTCCCTCAGTGGCTCACTCCCTGCCTCTTCCTTCATCAGGGGCCTGTTCACGTGTCCCTTTCTCAGGGAGGCCTTCCTTGGTCCCATATGTAAGGCAGAACCATCACCCCTGCTAACTGATTTCTTTTCTGCATAAACCAACCTTATCACAGTGTGCTGTTGTACCACATGGCTGCTGGAGCAGGCACATTGATGGTTTACTGGTGGCTCATCCCCAGGATCTGCCACATTGGTGCTAAGTTAATATTGGCTGAATTAATGAAAAGAGTAGATTCCATCACCAGTGAGCTCAAGGTTCCAGGTCAAGAAAAATGATGGAAATTTGGAGCCAGGATGAATGCCACGCTGCAGAAGAAAAAAGGCACTAAAGATCCCTCTTCCTCAGCATAAGCTTTACTATCCTCTGGCACTTGGCCCTGTTTAGGACCCCATTCAGCAAAGATTTATTAAGCACCTAGTAAGTGCCAGGCCTTGTTCTGAGCTCTGGATCATTTGCCTCTTGAGCATTACTGCCAGCCTCCAACCTGCATGTTCCTGCCAGTCATTCACCCCCACTGGAGGAAGTAAATGAGATAATACATGTGATTTGCTTATCTGCCTATACAGATGGTAAGTACCCAAACTGGCATAAACTAAGCACTCAACATTTGTTGAAAGAGGAAGGAGAAGTATCAACTAGGCCAGAGTAAGTGGAAGACAGAAGTTCAACCTTCCCTCCAAGTTAAGTTAAACCCCCAAATCAGGTAGGAAAGTAATCACTTGATCATGTGTTCCTGAGGTCTTCCAAAACCAAGGTGGTTGGTTTGTGTTTAGTAAGAATGCCGTTCCTTTTGGATTCGTCCTAGAGAATAAACGTGTCCTGGTCAGATGTCACTGCACCTCAGCATTTGGTGGAAAGAAACCATGCAGTGCCAAGAACCTGTGGGTCTCCACAAAGTCCAGCTCTCCAGCAGTTGGCCAGAAACTTCCTCTGCTGCCAACTCCCAGAGAGCACACAAGTGTCCTTGAGAACACAAAAGCCACAATTGTGAGATGGGTCTACAAATCATCCTTGGAAGATGTGCTCTGCTGTTACAGGCACACGAAGGACTGTACCTCTTTGTAGAGAAAATCCTAGAGACACAAGTCCGAGGGCCTGATCAGTTCATGGTGCTTGGGGAGACCCTGGAAAGTCCTGACAAAGGCACTCAGGCCTCCTTACTACCTCTTTGCTAGCATTTGGAACCAGGGCCAACCATGAACAGGGAGGCTTTGGATCAAATCTTTTCTTTTTAGTGACACCACTGTAGACCTGTTAAAGGGGATAACATGAACAGTGACTGTTTCCCCTCCTAAACGTGCTTGCTTTCCAATGTACTCATTGTCTAGATTACAAAGCCTTTCATTGACCTGAGCACAGGAGAGATGGAAGAGTCCAGGCCTGCTTTTGAGGGTGCTGGGAAAAATGCTAAGGAAGGACGAAGAATACCTCCAGCAAGAGCCAAGGTTGTTGCTGTTCTGCGGGAAAGCGAGTTCTTCCTGCCAGCTCTGCCAGGAAAGGTTAGGTCAGAGACTCCGTGGTCAAGCAGACTCCACCAGGCCATGCTGCATGCTCCAGGGTTAAGGAGAGGGAGCAAGGGGAGTGGGAGCTCTGGCTGCCTGCCTAGCTCCAGAAAAGCAGAGCTTTGCTGCCACATCCTGGGAATGTGGTCCCATCCTGACCAGCAGTCCGGTTGGCTTTGGGGACCATGGGTTTTCCATGGCACCTCATGAGTCAGCTGAGGTAGTGTTAATCTGTTCCCTAAAGAAGAAGTTCACAGTATAAATGGAAAAGGCATGGAGAATAGTCAGAAGAGGCTCGGGATGATTAGTATTTAAGAAGGAGATTTCTTAAAAAGCAAATGACGCACGCTTGAAGCTAAGAAGTAAGAAAGGGAAAGGAAGGGAAGATGTACATGTGTTCAGAGCAAACAAGCCACGGGTTTTGGAATGATGCCTTCCTTCCAGAAAGCTTTTCAAAAGTCTCAACATAGGCGATGCTCTCTTCTCCAAGACGTAAACAGAGTCTCTGTGTTTTATCTGGCCAGATGAGACCTGGTTGTTCTGAGGCTAAATAACTGGCTCGAACAGAGTGCTCATGGGCGCCAGGCATTGCCCCAGAACGCCCCCTCCATTACCTCCTCTAGGTGTCAAAGCCACAGGATAAGAACTTTTTCCCCATTTATAGCTGAGGAAGTAGAGACGAAACACACGATGAACCCACAGCATGCAGCCTTGCTCCCTCACTGCCTGAGTGACCAAAGCCTCAAAACAGATAGCCACTGCCATGCTGGGATCTCATGACCCGAGGGCACTTGGGGCTCCAGCCCCGGGTCCAGTGGGAAATTACCTTGCAGAGTCTTGTTCATTTCTCCCAGGGAGCGATTCATGCTCTGTATCAGGGCTGCCAGATAAAGTCTGGCCAAAGTCTCAGATTGAAAAAGCTGGGGTTGATGGAGTTCTCACTTGAAGCCTAGGCATTCAAGAATCACATCTGAGGAGAGAAAATGAGGCGGAGCAGAGATTCAGTAATAGCCCTACAGACACCTTAACTTCTCCCCAAACTCCTTCATTCAAATGCAGGTATTAAGCAGATGGGGTGAACAAGTGGCTTCCCTAGGTGTCAGTGCAGTGAGGGCCTCAAGGAGCTCACTGGCACGGAGAGGGGGGTCCTGTGGAGGAAGTGACGAGCATCCCAGAGAGCTGTTGACAAAGCTGAAAGACTTCGGGGGCATCCAAGCTGTCCTCCAACTTGGGGAACTGGAAATGGCTTTGCAGGAACCTTTCGGGGACACTCCTGGGGACTTCATTTTGCCTTCCTCTATTACGGTATTTTTAATTTGGTGCTGCTGCTATTTTGGGCCAGCAAATTCTCCGTGGTGGGAACTGTCCTGTGCATTGGGTTACTTAGCAGCATTGTTGGCCTCTATCTGCAGATGCCAGTACCATACCCTTCCCTAGATGCGACAATCAAGAATGTCCAAGACATTGCCAAATGGGGAGCAGAACCACTCCTGGTTCCCTGTTGAGGACTTCTGGGCTTTTAGCATCTAAGTATTGACCATCTGAAAAGCAGTAACAAAGTACAACCCAGTAAAAGGGCCACCAGAGATGGTAGGGGTCTGCTTGAGCCTCACTTTTCTCCTGAGAATGGAGACCCCAAGAGACTCCATTATTTTATCAGAAAGTGTAAATAAGATGACAATGAAAAAGGCCCTTTGAAAACTGTAGACGGCTTTACGAGGGGCAATGTAACCTGAGGATAGTGTAGAGGATCAACGAAAGAAGAGACTGATAGGAGAGCAGGTGGAGGATCCAGGGATGCCAGGCCAGGGGAGGCACATGAGAGGTGGGGGTGACAGGGCCCTCACAGCTCAGCTCCTCTGTTAGTACAGAGCTGGGGGAAGAGAGTGGCATGAAGGATGATCTCCCTGAACCCTAAATCTCAATACCTTACAGGATCTGGAGGGCCACTAACCCCATCTAGTTATTTCTTAGCTTCACCATTAGTTTGGCTATGTGACCTTGGGTGTCTGTTTCTTCTTGTTGTTACTATTATTGTTATTCACCAATTGTATATGATATGGTTTTGTGCTGGGGCTCAGAACCTGGGTTCATATCTCAAACTGTAGCTCACCCCAGGTGGTCTGGTTTTGCTGGGTTAGAAAAAAAAAAATCCCACAAGAGTAGGATGATTACAAGCAGAAGCAGACCTTGCTTATTCAAGCTCATTCCCTCCCTGGACATCAATTTCCACTTTCAAGATGGCCAGTGCATGGTAGACATCATTAATCAATCCTAGAACTCTTTTCTAGCCAGGAGATGATCTCAGACTACTTCTCTGACTCAATCAAAGTTGACAAGTGAGAAGAAATGTACTAGTCTTTCTTTGGAAAAGAGGCTGGTTCTGATCTCAGGCACCCATTGAGGGTGGGTTTATCCCAAAGAGAAGCTCCTTTAAAGAACTGACTTTTTGCTGGAGGTATAGCTCAGGGGTACAGCATGTGCCTAACATGTATGAGGCCCTGGGTTCAGTGCCCGGCACCACCACCAAAAAGGAGGAGGAAGGGGAAGAAGAAGGGGGGGGGAGAAGATGAAGAAGAAGGAGAGGGAGAGGGAGAGAGAGGGAGAGAGAGAGGGAGAGAGAGAAGGAGAGAGGAAAGAACTGAAAGAGAGAAAGGGAGGAAGGAAGGACAGAAAAAAGGAAGGACGGAAGGAAGGAAGGGAGAAAGCAAAAAAGAAAGAAAGAAAGAAAGAAAGAAAGAAAGAAAGAAAGAAAGAAAGAAAGAAAGAAAGAAAGAAAAAGAAAGAAAGAACCTAAACAAACCTGTCCCGGCTCCTCATGAGGCTCAATGAACTTTTTCTAGCTGAACAAACCAATTCTGATGCTTGGTTCTACCTCAGAAAAGTCCACTTGGACAAGTGCAGACATGGGTGTCCAAATCATGACTGGTTAAAGCTCAAAGGAACAAAGAATAGCTCTTGTGCTTGGTGATGCCCTATTGAGTTTTCCAATTTGAGCACATTTGTCCTTACGGTGGCCACTATATAAAAACTTTTTCTGAAATTGGCTTCATTCACCACATATTTGACAAATATTTACAGGACACCTATTATATGCTAACCACTATACAGTGAAAAAATTACAACTCAAAGACTAGTGATGTGGCTGATGAGTTTGTTTCCTTCCATAAAGACTACAAGGGGCCCCTAAGGTCAGCAACATTCTGGTTTAATCCACTAGTGACAAAAACTCACCTGGTTCCCAACTTTGGGTGGCCTGGTTGTTGAAATTCTCAGAGAAAAGCTTCTGAATTTTTGAAATGCATAACCTTAAGAAAAATGCAAACACGAAAACTCAGGCGTTAATATTGACATTTTTTCCTCACCTAAGACAAACAGCATGCTAGTGAGTGCTTCCCTACAGCTATCCATTGAGCAATCTCTCCCAGCTCCCCCTTGGAGAGTATTCCCTGGGGTTGTCTGTGGATTGGACCAATTGTCGGCTGCCTCACAGTGCCCAAACACTGATTCCTGTTTCCGGTTTGTAAGTAGGCTTTATCAAGGAGGTACCTGAGGTGCCATCATGCTGCCTGAAGGACACTTCCCTTTGTGAGTGTTGAAAACAACAGCATACAGTAGGCACTCAATGAATATCTTCTGGGAAAAAGAACAGTGTGTGCTGCCCATTTCTGAGACATTAACTCACCAACAATTTCATTTAGAAGTCATACAGTCCCTGCTCTCAATGTGTCCAAAAACCACCACCTGAATGCTACCCCTTTCCTCCACCCAGGCCTCTGTTTCAGGAAATGACTCCACCAGCCCTGAAGTACCCATGCCAGACGACTAAATATCGTCACATCTGATCACTTTCTACCATCTGATGAAATATTCTCAAATGTGTGCACAACTTTGTCCATGTGTCTTTCCTTCATTCCTATGATCTTCGTCCAAACCGCCATCCTCTCTCCCCAGTCACCACTGGTCTCTGGCCTCCAGCCCTCCCCCGCTTGGAGGCTATTCCCCCACAGAGTGCAGAGCTGGTCTTGCCTCTCTCCTGCAGAGGATTCTCCAGGATCTCCCCAGCGTTCCTTGGGAAGCCTAAATGTCTTGGCACATGTAACAAGCCCTACCTAACTCTGTAGCCTCACTCACTCTTCCTGCTCCCAGTTCCAGTGCTTTTCTACAGCCTCAGCCTGCTCCCTGCGCGGGACAGCTCTCCTGCCCTCCCACGGCCCTTTCCCTTGGCAGGCTCCTACTCACTCTTCAGGGTAAAAGTTTCACTGTTGCTTTCTCTGGGAAGGCTGGGCCAGCCTCCCCCATTACCCCTGTTGAAACCACTGTTTATTCATGTGTCCTCTTCATGACAAACAGGCCGTGGTTTACAGTCTCGGCCCAGCACAAGCCATCATGCAGGTGCTCAGGAAAGGTTCGCTGAATGAATGAATGACGATATACATGCTTTTCCACAAACAGTATGTACTCAGCATGTTGAGCAAGGAAATGAAATCAAATTGGAGTCATATGTTGACATTTTGAAGATAGTCACCCCAGGAAAGCCAGCCAGCCAAGGGACACTTGACGACCACATGTGGTCTAGGTAATTCAGTGTCCACTTGAGCATGCTGTTGCTCAATGTCCCGGGGGCCCTCACGGGCCAGGTGCACGGAGGTGGCAGGGGTGGGAGCCTATGTCTGGAATAATATTGGTTACATGCTGCCCTTTCCAAGGTCAGAAATGGCTGCAAGTGACTCAGCCTCAGGAAGGTGCTAGGAGTGAACTATTTACTCAACATTGGGCTCAGTAGCCCTCTCATCCTCCTCAACCCATCTGGTGGCTTGGGTGACATGTCTGGGGAGAACTGAGCAGGGTCAAGAGTTCAGATCATGATCTCAATGGGGCCATGGGCTTTGGAAAATATGGGGCACTGTGCATGAGCTCAGCCACCTCACAAACATCCCTGTCCCAGCTGAGCCTGAGATGCCAGACAACGGAAGTGGCCACACTGCCTCCTGAGTGTGATGGCTGCTTGTCAAGATTTGCTGTTTACCATGCAGGCTCTGTAGACTGAGGGCTGGGACTTGCTTCAGGGCACTGGAAAAATGAACGGGATAAATGGCATCTCTCCATTCTTCCAGGGACTAAAATGGCTTGTGATGATGTGGCAGGTGGGGATATTGACAATGTGCTCTTAGGCTGGGAGCTTCTTCTCCCAAGTCAGGGCCCATGATGGAGAAAGGAGGAAGGAAAAGGGGGAATTCTATAAGCTTCTCATGCACATACGGGCCTCCTAGAGCAAGCCACACGCAGGGTTTTTGGCTTGATAGTTGGAACATGCAAATCTCCAATCTGACTGTAGAAGAATCAAACAGGACTGGAGCCCACTTCTTCTGTTTTCTGTCATGTGACCTTGGGCCAGCCTTCTGAACTCAGGCTTTCTTCCTTAAGGGAGCGATGACTGGGCACAGTAGAAGGATGACTGTGCCTTGCACTGAGTGTGCTCTTGGCTGACATTTGCTCTCTTGTTTGCTCTGCAGGTCTGATCCTCAGTCCAGCTCTCCTGGAACTTCTCTTTGGTAAAATTTAGGGACCCCATCCTGACATCTTCACCTCTCTGCATGACCACTTCCCACCTTCAGAATGGACTTGGCACTGGAGGCAGGATGAGAGGAAAACATCAGGCAGGGTTACCAGCCCGGGAGCAGGAAGGACTCTGAGCTCTATCCCAGCACCTCAACCTAGAGAATTAGTGGGAGTGGTCCTTTCTTTGGCCACTGCCTGAATAGTCTGCCTCTGACGCCAGATCTCTGGGTTCAGGTGACAGTGTGCATTCATATGTGCCAGACAACCCCAGCAAGTCTGTTTGACACGTGTTTACTTGAGCCAGACACTTTTCTGAGCTACTTCTATGATTATGTCATATAATTCTCACGCCAGCCCCATCAAACAGGATACCCAACATGTAGCTAAAGAAAGTAAGGCAACACAAGATAGATAAATGCAGACGTGCATGTTTTCAGTTTGAAAAGAAGTGAGCTTTTCCTCATTGAAGGAGAGCAGAACTAGGAGGGCCACAGCCTGCAGTTGCCTGCGCTATGTGCCTGTGAATGGCCTAAGAGCTCGTTGTGACCCACAGACAGGAGACGTGGCAGTCAACTGGGCAACAACCAGGGTATTGATCTGCATAAGCCATGATGACAGACCTTTCCACTGTGAGTGAGACTTCACTTACTGCTAAACGTAAACTGGCCCAACTCCTGCCCAAGCAGATAGCACCCCCAAGTGGGAGAAGCAATAATTACAGCATCAGCTACAGGAACAAGGCTTGCAGGTGGAGGCAGGCAGAGCTATGGGCGCTTTGGGGGAACATGCACATGTTGCACGGTACAACTCCAGACCATCAGTGGACTTGCGGCTGACATCTGAAAGTTGCCAGATGTTTGAAGGTAAAAAGTATTACCAGTAATAGTCTTTTACTGTATTATTTGAATTAAATAATTTGTCTGTCAATGTAAAAAATAAATACAAAAAAACAAATGAAATCTTTATTATGTTCTCCAGGAAGTCTCCCACAATCACATGGAATAAATTCCTATAGTGGAGATAAAGAACTACAATCTCTATTAAACCTGTTCCCCCTCACTGTGATATACTGTACCATTGGCCTTAATTCTTCTCTCCCAGCCCCTGTGTCCACATCTTTTATCTTACGGCTGCCAAGTTCCTCTCAACGAAGAGCTGGAGTATATTTTCCATCCCTTGACCTTGTGGTTGGCCCTGTGTTTTTCTGTCACCACCACAATCAGCAGATGCACAGGGTAGCCCACTGTCAGAGGAGGAAAGGAAGGAGAGGGCTCAGGGGGCAGAGCTGAACTGCTCAGTGGTACTGAGCCTACGTCAGCTATACCAGGTGCAGAGTAAGCAGCAGGACTAGGGCCTGCTGGTGCGTGCTGCCCTGTTTCGCATCATCACAGGAAGAGAGGCAGATTTGTAAAGCTTCTTCTAGAAAGACAATGTCCAGACCAGTTCCCCTACATCTGTTGCCCTGGAGGCAAGGCATTTTGATCAGGGGAGTGTTCTAAGAGACGGAGGGAAGTGTGGGGCTTTGGCTGGCAGAGGACTGGGCTGATACATCCTGAAGTGAAATCACCAGGATCAGTGACTAAAATTGCTGTTCAGGCTACAATGATGATTGCTGTTTATGGAGCACTTAATGTTTGCAAGAAACAATCTGAGCATTTTCAATGTACTATCTGATTTAATCTACAAGATGACTCTTCAAGGGAGGTGTTACTAAAATCATTTCGGGGCCAGGGATTTAGCTCAGTGGTTCCAGCGCCTGCCTTGAAAGCGCAAGGTCTGGAGTTCGATCCCCAGTACCAAAAAAAAAAAAATCATTTCAGATGAGAAAACTGAGATTCAAAGAGGTTTGACTACTGTATAAAGGTTGCAGAACTGCCAAGTGGAGGAGCAGGGATTCCAGCCCTGTCTGGTAAGACTGCTTTTAATGGTCCTGATATTCAACATCAACTACCACTGTCCTCAGCCCCTCACCTCAGTGTTCTAGATCACCTTGCCCCTACTCTAAGGCCCAGCTCAGGTTCCAGCTTCTACACCTGGCCTGATGCTAAGGAACTGGGCAATGGAGCATGGCAGGCCAGCAAGTCTGGGAGAGAAGAGTTGGCCACTCACTCAGCAAACATGGAGCAAGCAGCTCTCCCATGCCAGATACTGTCCCAGGGGTGCAGCCCATGCCCAGGTAGACTTGGCCATGAGCTCACAAGATTGATATTGCCAGCCCAGAGGGCAACAACATCATGGCAGGCCCCAAATAGAAAGAAAATGAAGAATTCCTTCTACAACAGGATCTAGCTCTGTGTCCTCCAGGACAGGTAAGAAAGAAAAAATATGGAAAAGTGATGATCTAGCCTGCTGCAAAGGATGCTATGAGATTGAGGAGGACCCTTTGGTTGGGCAAAAATGGGAATTTGTAAGAGGTTTCCAAACATTTAACCACTAAGTTTTGTCAAGAAATCATTTGATCTATGGATGATAAATTTAGAAACGCATGAGGGTCTCAAGTTCCTAATGCAAAAGAAAAATTAGGAAAAAAATGGTTACATTCTCTTTGCTCTTTGGTCACTACCCACAGACATTCTCAGAAGAAGTGCTCTCTTTTTGACTCCTCCTATGCCTAAGGATGGTCCCAGAGGGAGGCTTCCTGGCCGACTTGGGAGTTACAGCCCCTCTGTCCAATTGGAGTGGCCCAACCATCAGACTGCCTCCCTCCCAGGAACATGGCTCACCTGGTGCGCGAACACACCTGCCACAGTCTCTGGAGTCTCCTTACCTGTCTGGATGTTTCAGAGTGCCATGGAGGTCTATGCTCAAAGCCTTGCACATCTGGGAAAGTGCCAGGAGGTCCCCCGAGAAAGGCTTTTTGGGGAAACGCCATCGATTGGTTGAGCCAACAATCTGGCACTCCAGCCAAGTCTTGGGCTGTTCAGTATTCAAAGGAAGAGAGAAAATCTTTTAACTTCACATAGATGTCAGATTTTCAAATCATACAACAGAAAGAAAATCAAGCCAAGCTTTAAATTGCTGGTTAACTTTTAAACGTGGCTAATATTTCTCATGGGCATCTCCTCCAGATAAGGATGCTGCATTTCATACACTAGGGATCTCAAGCTACAAAGTCATTTAGAATTTAGAATCTGGAACAGGAAGTGCATGAGGAAAAAGTTCAAAGAGAAAAATTGCATCTTTGCAGGTAGCTCCAAAGAGTCCACAAGCCATGTTATTCCTCAAGTACTGTTCTTTAAGGACTCCTCATGTCATTCAGAGATGCTACATTTCAGATATTTTGGGCAGGGGCTTTTGCTGGTAAGATGCACAAAACATACAATTCACCAATTTATTCATATGATACTGTACTAGTTAATAGTGGTGTTTAGCTTATTTATAATGTTATGCAACCATCACCATCATCTAGTTCCAGAACATTTTTGTTATTCCAAACAGAAACCCTGTATCCATTAAGCTGTTGCTCCCCATTCTCCTCTCCCCCGTTCTTGGAAACCACTAATGTGTTTCCTGACTACAGATCTGCCTATTCTGGATATTGTATATATGCTCAACTACATAATATGCGGTCTCTTGTGTCTGGCTTCTTTCACTTCGCAAAATGCTTTCCAGGTTCATCCATATATCAGTATTTCATTCCTTTTTAAAACAGAATAATTTACTTTGTGCAGACATATCACCTTTTGTCTATTTATTAGTTGATACACTTGAGTTGTGTCTGCCTTCCAGCTATTGTAAATGGTGCTACTATGAATATTTGCTACTGTGAACATCACTGGGAAGGGAACTTTACTTAGAAATTTTCTTGAGGCCTCAAGAGAACTTAAGCAATTTTGATAAGGAAGCAGAAGAATACTCAGCATGGATATAAATCCCAGACTGATAAGTCCTAGAAATCTAGCAAGAAAAAAAATCACCACAAGAGATCCACAGGAATGAGTGCAATTAATTTTAATTGGGCATCAACAGAGTGGTAGAGCGACCATGGGCAATGAAACAGAGGATCTGAGCTCAAATCTTGTTCTTGTAATTTAACTACTTGGGCAACTTTGGGCAAGTCATGTAACCTTCTGAGCCTCCCAGTCTTTGTGTAAAATGGGAATTCTGGTAAAGATAATGATGGCGATGATTATGACTATGATGGTGATGGTTGTTACGGTGATGGTGATGTTGGTGGTGATGATGTTGATACTGATGATGGTGGTGATGGCACCATTTTGGTTTGAGTTATTAAAAAGATATAATAAAATTGGGGGGATTCCTCAGTCTAATGCCTACAATATGAGGGGTAATTGAAAACTGGAATGGGAGTCTAGATGTAGTCCTACTGGAGGGTGAGGCAGTGGGGCTGCCCTCCAATTCCTGCATGCACTTCCTGGACATGCTCTTTCTGGCAGAGTCAGCCAGTGAAGCTCGAAGCCCTCAATAGCACAGGCCTAGTCCCTTGTGGAAACTTAGCCATCGAACTGTGACCCAAAGCTCCTCCTCTCCATTGCCTGCCTTCCTGTAAAGCTGACAACTTACTGCATTCAACATTTTCATGAATGATAGTGGAAATTACACAGTGGGGAAAAGATCATCACCTGGAAGACAAAAGAGTGAAAGTTGAAATTTTTAATTAATTTCTGAAAAGTTTCTTCAAAATATTATGAAGAAGACTGGTCTAAACATCTACATTTTTAATTAGGTTCAAACAACAAGGTGTACACCAGGGCCATTCTGGACTCAGTGGACTTGTGGTCACCTTCTCATGGAAGACCTGGAAAGACCAACAGAAGGATTCTCTAGCTCTTTCTGAACAGATCTAGGGCAATTTTACTGCACGCAATAGAAACCAATCTGAGTGATAATATGCCAAAATATATTATGAACATGGGGGGAGGCTGGGATTGATGGAGGATGCTGATGGGAAGAGGGTGATATCAAAATCCCAGGGAGAACTGGAGAACTCTCTTTGGGGGAGGACAGGAGGTCACTGCTGGGATCTAGTGCAAGCACCAGCTTTACCATCCACTGCCACTGGGATGAACCAGCTCTCCTATATTCAGTCTTTGTGTGGTTTGCATAGGCCAAACCCTTAACAAGTGAGCCTCACTGGCCTAGCATAGCAGACATCAAATTAACTCTCCCAGCAAGACTTAGTTTAGCCAGGAATACAGCTCAGGGGTGCTGTGTCTGACTGGCAAGTGCAAGGTCCTGAATTCAATCCCCGGTACCAAAAAAAAAAAAGACTTAGTTCAATGGGGGCTGGGTGGATCCCCGGAGTAGCACTGAGAGAGGGGAAAAAGGACGAAAGAGTGAGCAGGAAAAACCAGCAGAAGTCCATGGCACTTGTTGGACAAGAATCTCAAGTGCCCCTGTGTCTGGCTCCTGAATAGTGCCTCACCTGCACGACAGCCACAGCAGGGGAGGCGGTTCATTCACCAAGTGTTTTCTGTGCAGGTGCCACATGCAGAGAAGGGTTACTTCCTTCTGCGGTATGGTAGTAAGCAAAATGGACATGATCCCTGTCTTATGGAATTTTAATTTTGCCTGGGCAGATAAGAGTTTCTTAAATTTCAAAAGTAATTTATATGGGCTCATTACAAGTGAACCAATACAAAGAAAGGTAAAGAAGAAACTGAAAATATTTACGTAATATTTCATACTGTGGAAGCATCATTATTTATTATACTTATCCATAGTCATTCAGGTTGTTTCCTGTGTTTTATTCTTATAGACAACAACCAATACACACACACACACACACACACACACACACATTATTAAGGCAGTTTGGATATTGTGTATGTGTGTTACCTATGTCTGTATCTAATACTTCTCTCTCTATACGCGTGAGCATGTGTCTTTGCATTTTATTGCTTTTATTCTTCAAAGTGGGATTATGTCAGAAATACAAATATTTAGTTCAAATAGATAATGCTACCTCACTTTCCCAAAAGTGGGAGCAGTTTGCATTCGCAGTGCTGATTTTTTTTTCCAGTGCTGGGGATCAAACCCATGGCCTTGCACATTAGGCCAACATTACCATTGAGCTACATCCCCAGCCCCAGCCCCAGCAGCAGCTTTTAAGTGCTTGTCCCATACCACACCCAGTACTGGGCATTACCATTACATGTATTTTTGCCAATCTGGTGAGTGATAGAAGGTTTCAGATTGTTATTTTAATTTAACCTCCATGGCCACCAGTAAGGTTGAACATTCTTTTATATATTTTTTGCCTTTTAATTTTTTTCTGCAAGATACCAAATCAGGAACTTTTCCTTCTTCTGCTGGGCAGCTGCAGTTTCCTCAGCAATTCTCAGGAGCCCTCTATCTACAGTTCTAGGCACACTAAGCTGATGTCTGTTATAGGTGCTATGAATATTCTCCCCAGTGTAACATTTTTTCATATTGTTTCTATTGTACAAATTATTTGAGTATGGAAGTATGTCACGTGTACTTATTTGACCATCTCTAATTTTAAAACTTGCATATCAAATCAATCTGGGCAGTGAAGCACATGCTTAGCATACACAAAGCTCTGGGTTCCACCCCTACTTCCTTCGTGGTTGGATTTCCACCTTGGATGAGGAGGGTTCTCCCACCCCCAGGGAACACGCAGCTGCTTCTCTGATCCCTTTTCCACTTAGGAATTGGAATGGCCTTCAACTCCCCAAGCTTCAACTTCCCCTTCCTCAGCTTCCCATTGCCTTTGCCATAAACTCTCAAGACCTCAATGTGACTCAGGAATCTGAGACGAGGAAGGAGTGCTCTGTGCTAAGGCAGACCCGTAAGCACAGAAAGAAGTCCTCCCAGCCCCAGCCAGGACTCCCTCATGTCCTCGTGATTCATCTCAGTAGAGAGAAGGAAGCTGGGGTTCATCCTGAGCTACACCTGGCTTCCTTTGTCTTGATACCCAAGAGCTCCACTAGCTGAACTTGCATCCAGGGTATCTGATGCCGGGAAATGTATTTGCTCTTTCTTCACCCCAGCAGGGAGTGAGTATTGAGAGTCAGCTCCTAAGCCCCTCTGAGTGGACAGGAGGTGCTTGTGATGGTTTCTCGCTCCCAGACCTCTTCACTCCCTGACCAGGAGTCCTGAGCCTCCTCGCTGCCAGCCAACCTGAAGGAAGCAAGTTCAAGCAGCACTTGACACTAGGCGGCCCTCTTGGTCTTGATAGCAGATGAAAAGAACCAGTTCTATCTGGAGTTCCGACGCCCTCTTGCCCACCATGGAAGTGTCCACACGGAAAGTGTGTGGAATGGAAGAACATTCATTCCACCGGTCTCTGAATTTCAGCAGAATTGGAGGCTGGTCACTTCTGAGCCCGAATCCCGAAAGCTCTCAGAACATCTGGAGCTTACCTTTTTTTCCTTATGGTCCAAGGTGCTTCAGTGGGGCTCTTATCTGTGGTTTCCTAGGGTTGTTGTGGGCACCATGGAAATGGCAGGGAAGGTTCCAAGCACTTCCTGTTTCGGGTTCTGGTTTCAGCACAGTCTGCAGGCTGTGTTGAAGGCTAGAGGCTCCCCTTGAGGGTAAGCGCAGGCCAGCCTGTGAGCCATAGATTCTCACAAAGACCAACAAGGTGCCACACACTTCCTCCCCACCTCCCTCCACAGAGAAAGTGCCATTCCTATTGCCCAGAGTGCCATGTGCCCTTTCAGCACCTGGGCCACCTGGAAGCGTCTCTACAAGGGCCTTCATGAGGATCAACCCTCTAAACCTCACACCTCAGCTGTGAGACTAGACTGGAAGGTTCTCAGATCCCTCCCAGCTCTGGCATTCAAAGGTGTTCTCCTTCGAGCTTTCCAGAAATGTTTTGTTTTTTTTAATTTTGAATAAGAATCAAGTTTTACATCATTAAAGGCTATGGCCTAGTGAGTTACTTAGTTAGCGGGTAATTTTTAACCTGCTGTCTCTGGGAAATAAAAACTGAATGACAAAGACAAGAAGAGGCTCCATGCCAGGAGTAAGGGTGGAACCGTGTAGTGTCCTCAGCAACTTTTTCTGCAAAACCTTTGCCCCAAACTCAAGGATGGGGAGGTGGTGGTCACATCAGTCATGTCCACCAGGAATCCTGGTTCATCAGAAGCCTGGACCACTGCCCTGGGGCTTGTAGAGAGCCTGAGTCATAGTAACAGGAACGTGAAATCGGGCAGCTCATGGGTCCCCAGGACCAGCTTTCATGGGCTTCCTTGTAGTCTCTCTCAAGCCATGTAAATTGTAAAGTAGGGCTGGAAGGTGGCTTCTCCATCTACCTGTGATCGTGTTCTGGAAAATACAAAACACTGTATAAATGTATTCAGAGGTTTGTAAGATACCTCTGAATTTTCCTCCTTCCTCAGTCCTCAAATCCTCTTCTCCTGCCCTCCCTGATGCCCACATTCTCTGTGCAGAGCAGTTGGCTACTGCAGAAGGGTTTTGGGAATGACTTACCATCTCCGCATTCCAAAAGCCTGAAGGTCAAAGATGGCCCTGATGAAGTGCTCAACATTATGTCTCGAGAGATGGTAATTGGGTGCACAACTTCACCACTCTGCTTTTGCACGTGGGTGAGCTTCGCGTGTGCACAGGCCCATCTGTGCACGTGGGTGTAGGTCTGTGTCTATGGTGTCATGGTCTGGTGTTTGTACCCAACTGCGGTACGGTTGTCTTTGAGTACATTTGTGTGTGCTTGTGCGTTAGGAGAAACTCTGATGCTCAGTAGCCCCCAAGGGTGTATTTTGATTCAGAGCAATGTCTCCAGTTAGTTACACACTGGATTTGGGGATTAGGAATGAAATGGGAGGAAGTTCATTACAGTGACCCCAGTGGCTGCCGCTCAGCTGGAGAGCAGCTGATGCTCAGCATTTTGTGCTTACTAGAAGCAGCAGCAATGGGTGCCACAATCAGATTTGAGGACAGGTCCAAAGGAAGCCAGTCACTCACTCACTTCTCAGCTTAGCACCTCTGGAGAGGTCAGCAGAGGTTGGGAGGGATGTGCTGGGGGAGAACTGGAAGGAGAAGAAGGGGCAGAGACACAGGCTTTGCTTTATGGAAGGGGATTAGCCCCAGTTCAGGGCCTGTCCATCCTCCCCTGACCCTTGGGTGCAGCACGAGGAAGCAGGCCTCCGACAACTGCTGCAGGGGTCACAGAAGCTGCAGAGCCTAGAGGCAGAGCCTGTCCTCCTGAGCCAGGCTCTGCGTCCTCTCTCACATGTGAAAAGTATTGTTGGATCATTTTTTCTTTAAAAAATACAACACATTTATAGGCACAAATTCAGAGACAAAATATTTTGACAACAAAAATAATTTGAGTTCTAAGACCAAAGTTAATTATAATTAATAGTAAATCAATATTTTGTACACACACATATATTTAAATGAGTTCTTATTCATTTTTTTCACCTGGTTGTTCACTTAACGTTGCATTGCATATTTTCTCCCACATTTGTGAGTGATACTTAATGGGGCACTGTGCTTTGTGATGCACAGACAGATGGCGGTCAGCCAGCCTTGTGTTAGGCATCACTGGCTCGAGGTGCAGGCCCTGCAGCCAGGCCGCATTCAGCAGGAGGGACAGAAGCTCACAGCCAGCCACGCAGGTGTACACACTCATCTCGAGTCTCTGGCTTCCTCAAACATCATGGTGCACTCCACTCCCCTTACTGAGTCTGGGCTGTTGATTCTCCTCCATCCAGTGCCAAGACCAGTGTGAGTGTGTGTGAGTGTGAGTGTGTGTGTGTGTGTGTGTGTGTATGTACGTATCTCAGCAGAAGTCTATACACAAGAAGATACATCTGCTCTCTATGCTTCTTTCCATTCCCTTCCCAAAATCTCTCAACTAATTGTCCCTGGGACATTGAGCCTCATGTAAGATTTCAATTAAGAAGTCTGAAATACATTCTTTACTTGGGGCCCTCTTGACATCCCAGCTCCCCTCTGGGTGCCACTTGTGGAGCAACCTGCTGAGAACAGGGTCTTAGGCTCCCTCTAGTGGCCATGATGGGGAAGCAACCCAGGTGTCAGTCCCCGCTGTCTCTCAAGCAGAAACCCTGGCCTTGACAGACAGAATCCATCACTTTCTTCAGTGTGTGAGCTCAGGGATCCAGAGCCTGCAGCCCATACTCAGAGTCCTCAGCACATACATACCTCATTGAGCTCTCAGGAGCTGAGGTAGAAGCCAAAGTCAAAGATAACAAATATACATAAATAGGAATGGCTCTAGCTTGTTTTCCTGAAAGCTCTTAGCTGGTAGTGCTCAGGCTGTGATGGATGTACAGTGGCCCAGCCCTCCAGGCCCCAGCTAGGGGAGGGAAGGAGAAGGGTGGAATGCACATCCAGCATTCCAGCTTGGGGAAGATTCCCAAGGGACTGCTTCCTGTCTCACCTGGCTTGGAGCACTGGTACGAAATTGGCATGCTTTGGCTCCCCAGAGCTCCCTTGGCAGAAAAGAAGAGCTCAGCCTCTTGTTGCAGCACCAGAGCAGCTGCAGCACTACACACAGACAACAGGGAACAGGAGATCACAAGCTCCTGAAGAGGACCTGGGAACCCTTTCTAATTGGGAAATTATATGTTCACACCCAGAGAAGACACATCCCCAGAAAAGGTTTGGGAGGCCCCCAAAATCATTAGCCAGCCCCACTGGTAAAGGTTTCTATGTATAAAGCCAGAGAGAGGTTCTACATAAAGGCTGGGAGAGGTGGCTGTTTGGATAAACAAATACCAACAAAGAAAAATAAGAAGCCACATGAAGAAAAAAAGGAAACATAGCCTAGTCTGATGAATAAATAAACCTCCAAAAACTGACCATAAAGAAAGGGGATTGATGAGTTAGTTAACTGACAAGGAATTAAAAATAATCCTCAGTGTGCTCTAAGAGAACACAGACAACTAAACAAAATCAGAAAAATGCTACATGAATAAAACAAAAATATCAGCGAAGAGAGAAACTAAAAAAGAACCAAGAAGAAATTATAGGACTGAAGAATATAATAAATCTATCAAAAATTCATTAGAGGAATTCAACAGCATTTTTGATCAAGCAGAAGAATCAGTGAACTGGAAGACAAGTCATTTGAAACTATCCAAAAGAACAAAAAGAAAAAACAATGAAGAAAGCCTGAGGGACTTGTGTGTACCTTGAGCAGACCAACACACATATCATGGGTGATTCAGAAGGAGAGAAGGCAGTGTGCCAAACAGGAGGAAGGAAATGGGTAGGTATCCCGAGGCTTAAGGGAAGAGAGAAGAGGCGTGTTGCTCTGTGGATATAGGATTTCAGTTATGAGAAAACTGTAGATATGGTTGCACAACAATTTGCATATAACTAATAATACTGTATCGTACACTTACGAATAGTTACAATGGTGTCTTAGTCACTTTCTTCCTTGTTGTATCTGATACTGCAACTTATAGGAGGAAAGGTTCACTTTGGCTCACAGTTTCAAGTTGCAGTCCCTGTTTGCCAAGCTTAAACACAGAAACAGCATGGTAGAAGGGTCTGGGCAGAGGAAAGCTGATCACATGGTGGGGGATAGGAAGCAGAGAGCGGAAAGTGAGGAGCCAGCCAGGATGGGAGGTAAACACTTCCGGGGTCACACACACCCCGCACTGACCTTCTTCCTCTGCCCCTTCCAACCAGGCCTCTCCTCCCAGCAGCACTCTCAGCCATAAGCTCGAGATGCAAATGACCTCCAAACACCCTGCCTATGAACACCTGAGGTCTTTGGGACACATCTCTATCTAAACCACAACAGATGACAAATTTTGATACTTTTTTACTATGATAATAAGAGTATGACAATATTAGAAGATGCAGAAATTGTTAGGGTTCATACTTCAGAAAAGAAAAAGAAACTTCAGAATCTTACCAGGGCCAAGGGTTAAGTGAAAGGAACAACTGCCAATAAAGCAGGCAGTTTTTGCTGTTTCTGATATCTCTTCTGTTGTTTTGTTCTTTAGTTTTTTGAGACAGGATCTTGCTACATAGTCCAGGTCAGTCTTGAACTCACCATGTAGCCCAGGCTGGTCTCAAACTCGCAAGCCTCCTGCCTCAGCCTTCCAAGTACTAGGTTACAGGCTTCTTTTTTCTATTATTATTATTTATTAAGTTTACTGGTACATTTTAGATATACATAACAATCACATTCATCATAGCGAATTTGTACCTTTACATGATGTAGCTTCTTTTTTTATCCCATACTCTCCCTTCAACCCCTCTTCAGCTCCTTATTTACAAAAGCTTTGTTTCCATTTTTTCTTCTCATTTTTTTCTTTTCCCTTCCTTCCTTTCTTCTGCCCCCCACTTATTTCCTCTGCCTATTTGAACATTTTCTATTTCACAATATCTATTATACATTTTGGTTCTCATTTAGACTTTCAGTTTCTCACACCAGAGAAACTATGCCGTTTAAACATATGTGTCCGATTTATTTCATATTTAAGAGTATGGGCTCAAGGTCCATTCATTTAGCTATAAATGTCTCAAGTTTAATCTTTCTTTATGCCAGAGTAGTACTCCATTGTATTAAAAAAAAACCAACCCACATCTTTATCCATTCATCAGTTGATGGGCACTTGGGCTGTTTCCAAGATGTAGCTATTAAAAACTGTGCTGCTATAAACATGGGTGTGCATATATTGCTGTGGTATGATTTTTTTAAATGGAGAACAAATTTTATTTTAAAAATAGATCTCAGTAACAATGAAATACCAAAAGCTGGTCGTTATAATAGAAAA